AGATAAGGACATTCCACGCATTTGAGTGAGACCAAAAGATATTGTAAGAAGTTCATTTAGAGATACCACTGACACTGAAGAGTCTGCTTTATCGACTTCGTACAAATTTGGCCGACCTTTCAGCATCCTCTTAAGCTTCGAGGATTTCTTTACTCGCGGAAACACACATGTAAGAGCCAGGAAATGTCATTGAGAAATGAAAATTTCCTTACGAAAGGGAAAGGGAGTTGACGGCGCACGTTAATATCGTCGTAGCATAAAACAGGATGTAGCGGAATTAGCGATCGCCGCGAAACCGACGGAAAAAGACCGGGATGAAACGAGGTGAAATTCTCCGCGTGTAACAGAACAGGTGCGAGCGGAGAAGCGCGGAGAAGCGCGCCAGGCGGACGCTTATCCGGCAAATAATAGTAAATGTTTCGTTCCGAGTGGCGGCGATCGAGCCAGTCGTAGCGTCCGCTTACGATGCGTTGGGATGAGACTCGAGGGATCAATACGCGCACCGACGGATTTCTCAATCGGCGCGCAACATAAAAGCCACCCTACCGTGCCTCCGCGCTCCGCTCTCCTTCCTAGACTTATTACAGCGCTATTGTACATATCATACACGGAAAGAACGGTTCTTTGAAGCGTATACGAAAATTAGGCCAAATACAGAATTGAAAATAATTATGTTGACGTTCAAGCTGGTTGCTACATAGGATGCCAAAATTTTTTAACGAATTATAATCAATACACTTGAACGTTCTACATAATTATTTTGATGGTCCAACATACAGTCGAACCTCGATCTTTCTCTTCCCTTGAATCTCAAGGGAATTAGAGAAAAACCCTTCGAGTTATAGAGTTTTCGATTTATCGAAATTCGAGTAAAAGAGGATTAACGTATGAAAATTCGACTTACGGAGGCTTTGTACAAGAGTTTATAATTTTCCGATTATAATGACTTTTAGAGGAAAAAAAAATCAATATTTGACAGTGAATTATTTATTATTGCATACATATAATAAATGTAATCATAAAACAAAATACGAGGCTATGCTCATATTTTACTACTATTTACTATTTTTCTATATTACTCATGATTACACATAGCAATAATAGAAGTTCGACTTATAGAGGTGAACTTCGACTTGCAGAGGTCTGGCTACTTTAAATTTGAGTTGCGGTAAAATAATACCTCTAAATATCTGACTAATAATTCGAGTTAAGATAGGTTTTATTTCGACTTATAGAGGTTTTCTGCAGTGGAGCGCAAGAGAATGAACCAAATTTTCGTCTTATAGAGGTTTTCGAGTTGTAGAAGTTTGAGTTATTGAGGTTCGACTGTAATTATTTTCAGATCTGTATCTTTGGTTAAATTTTTATATACTTCAGTAAAACTGTCCTTTCTAATTTCTACGTTCTCTCGAGTAATGACCATAATATAATTTCCATTTCTTCAATAGAGACTTGATTTTATATACGCATAGAATGCATATGCGTAGATCCGGCGTGGCTGGTGTGATTATATAATTATACGGAGAAGAGCGGCGTAAGCCGTAAGCAAATGTAATGGAAGCGGAAGTCTGTGTAACCCGATTGGGAAACAATGAAGTTCATAGAAGCGAACGCGTTTGTCCCTCGATTGGGACGAATAAATTCTTTTTTGACTGGAGATGCGATCAAGTAGGGGAGACCGGGGATAAAAGTAACATTTTGAATTTAAAGTCTTATAACAGTTAAATTATAATATTTACATTTAACAAACCTATATCTTTAGATGTAGAATTTATTTAAGTACAA